GTGTGCACGCACACACCCCGACAGGTTAATCCCTGTATCACTGGCTGCCACGGGTTCTCTAAGAAGCTAAACAGGGCATGTTCTGACTTCAACAATGACCTGCTAATGGTTTTACATTTCTCCCAAGTATTATAACCCACCTTTGTCACACTCATCTCCTAATGAAATCAATAAATTGAGGTGAGAGAGAGCTCAAGGGCAACGCCAGGGCCAAGGGCAACGCCAGGGCCAAGGGCACCATGAGACTCTACTAAGCCACAAACCATCATCTTGAGGCGATTATCAGACCTTGACTTTTGCTTCAAGAAAAGGAGTTGCAGATATCCTGGCAAAACAAAATGCCTTCCCATGTTACTTACAAAAAAAGAAGAATGTGCCTGGTAGAGTCGTGATTTTGCTAATACTGAGAAAGCTCCCTCTCACTGAACGCTCCATTCGCATGTCTTTTGGCGGCATATAGTTGCAGTTTGCGGCATTTCAGCATTCTGTCCCTTTCGAAAGAGCGTTCAGAGCCATCAACACGCAGGTACGCGGTTCAGGTTTATTCCCACAGCTTGCCTTGATCCTCTTTAAAGGTTTGTGATTTGGCTCTGCATTCATCTTTCTCTCCAAGTTGCAAAAATCATTTTACATATTTAGTTACTTATTTCTTCCCAATCCTCCCTGGCTCTGGGACGCAACCCATCAGTCACCACCAGCCACCACCTTCTGCTTAAATTACTCTCGAGGCTTCTCATCACTCTTTGGAATTAACCAAACACAGCAGCAAAAGTCCTTAAAATGGTCCCCACCTACTTCGCCCAGAACCCCTGCCCTTCTCTGTCCTGGCTTCAGCCAGGCTGGTCCTCTCTCATCTCTTACAACGCACCCTATGGGCTTCTAATACAGGGCTTTGCATACACAGCCCCCTCCTGGAGCACCATACAGCACTTTCACCTTGGCCTGCAAGTCTCAGGTGCCCCTGGTCCACCTTCAGGCTTCCCTCTGACTGCCCCTTTCCCAGGGATCCTTCAAGGTCTCCCTCCCTAGGTTAACTCTGTTTCTTACACTGCTTCCCAGCACTGCACACAGTTTCTTTCACATCACCTACTGCAGCGATGGTTTTACATTTATTTCAGTGGTTACTTGATTAGGATCTATCTTCTTCCCTGGATCGTAGGTTCCATGAGAGCCGAGGCTAGATATCCCTAGGATCTAGCACAGTAACCAGCACAGAATAAACATTCTTCATATATTCCACGGATGAAAAATATAGGCGCCCAGCCTAGTTAAAGGACACAAAGAGTTTGATGCCATTTTCTCACCTACAGTCCTACTCCAAGTGATGCACAGACAGAGGTCAGATCATGGGATGTGTGTGACTCGGCTGCAGTCATTCCCAATCAAAGTGGCCCGTTGTTCCAAGTCTCAGGTCTCCTAAGAGGAGTGTTAGATTATCCCACATAAAGCCAGGTTGAATCAGCCTTGGTCAGGGGAAGAGGGTCATATCCACAGTCACCTGCCCAGTGGGCCATGAAGACTCCCCCAAAATAAGAAACAATGAACTGAGCAGGCACCCCAAAAGTCATTCAACTCTTCCTATCATTTAGCTACACAGGAAATACAACACGACCCACAAACACATATACCCATAACATTATCCCATGCATTCAGAATTATCCCTGCCTAACACGATACACTGATGGAAACACACTCCCCTTCCCAAAAAGACAGGTCAAGTTGATCCCAAGGCAAGGCCACACCACCGCCACGTCAACATCACAGCCTGTCGGAGTCCAATGTCCCTGGAGACCCTCCTTGATTTCTCTTGCGATGATGCCCTGTGAGCTGAACAGTGAAGGTAACCACATAAACACACTTGGATTTCAAGGGGGAGGAAAAAAAATGAAAGAACAATATTTCCCCCTGCAGGCTGGGCCTCTAGAGAGGAGCTAGAGGGAATCCAGGAGAGGACTGGACACAAGAGGGGCATTGATCTAGAGGCCAGGGTCTCAGCACATGGGGAGAGGGGAGCCACTCGGCATTCCAGGAAAACATTTGAAAATCCCTATCTGGCTGCCCCAGGATGACCCTCACTTCCCCCTTCCACACTGACCTCTCCCCATCCCTTCCCAGCACCACGTGGGGTATGTTCCAAGCCAGCCCTTCTCAGGTTCACACGTGTGGCTGGAGTCTCCCGGGATGGGCTGCCGGCTTATTTACATGAAGCTGGGGCTCCAAAGGTTTGAGATTCCAGACTTCTAATGAGCTCCCAGGTGGCGCCTCTGCCCTGGCCCAGGCACCACACTTTGAATAAAAGGTTCTAGAACTCATTAGACATCTGCATAGCTCTAAGTCAGGCTAAAAGTCAGCAGATAACTAACTGGCCACCAGTCCTGTTGTTTGGCTGTCTAGACTATGTAAGGCATAAATCCATGGACTTCACCCTGTCCTTGATAACTCCCATGAAATGGCTTTGACCTCCCTCCTCTACGCCCAGGGAGCAGCTCCAGGTCCTCCCCAGATGCCTTTTAGTTCAAGTTGTTGACATTCCCAGGGGTGGCTCTTGCCCACATCTCACCTCGTCTGACCCTGTCAGTGACTCTCGTTCCTCTGCCTCACAACAAACCCGTGGCAGCTGGCAGCTGACCTCCTCCCCAAACACCATCACACCAGCGAATGCTAAGGTTTCGTTTGCAGCACACTTGGCCAAAGATTTGGAGTAAAGGGGTTTTGTTACATCAGAGGCCCTCCCTGCCAGGAACATGTACCTCGACTTTTAGATGCCCCTGTTCTCAACAGTCCCGTCATCTCCTTAAGAAAAGATGTTGCTCACCTCCACAGGCCTCTCTTTCCCATCTCCACCCTCAATTACTCATTCCTTTGTGCAAAATAGGGTACTTCTGTCTCCGTTAATGGTTTTCTTCCAAACCACGCCTTTCATCTTAAGCAGGAATTTTGCTTAAAAAGAAAACAGCATATACTCCAAAGAGAATTTACACCATTCTGATAAGGACAGCACATTGCAGTTCATGTTTGCAGTAAAAGCTTTTATTTTCCTCTGCACAAGACCTGGCTTAGACCAAGCCGTGGAGAATCACTTATTCCACTGATTCTTAGTATCCAGCCTGGGACAGCTACTGGGGTTCACATAACCGGCAGCACACCATGACCTTCCTACCTGCTTTCCCGGAAATTGACTTTCATGATCATTTCAACACCAGTCCCTCATAGCAAAATTAGAGCAGTAAGTCTGATGACTTGAAGGGAAAAGAATAATTCAAGCTATTCATTAATTTGAATGATCCACGCCACCCCATCTTTCAGCAACACGTGTAACTGAAAGTTGACTGCACTGTTAAATTAACATCAACTTTAAGCTTTCACTGTAATCAAACCTGCATTACATTATTGTTTAGGGCCAAGGTGTAAATCCCTTGGTGGCTCATGAGTCAACACACCCAAGCCCGGAAGCTGGCTCTCATACACACGCAGCCAGCCCATGGAAGAGCCACGCCAGCAGCCCTTATAACAAGAAGGCATCCTATTTTTATTCTGAAAGTCCTGGACCAAAAATCAGAAAGCAAAGCAGAAAGCATCTGAAAAGAAATGCGCCATTTGGTTTGCCTCCAAACTCACTTGTAAAGACACACGCCCTCCTGTTTCTGTATTTTCCCCTTCAGATTTATGACGTATACAAACAGCGAGAGGACAAACGGCCCCATTAAAACAAATTAATCCTGTTAATGACAAGAATTATAATAAAAACAATTGGGAGGAAGCTCACAGGTAGCAGGTATCCTCCAGGTCCCGGATAACCCTCCATCATGGCAGGTGTCCTGGAACATTCCAGCCACTGGAAAACAAAACTCCAGAGGGGTGGGTGCAGAGAGTCCTGGTTCACGTGCGTCTCTGCAAGGATGGATGCTTGCTACGCCAAGTGTATCTGGACTCTGTGCCTGATCATGATGTGCAACTCGGAAATGTGTTTCCTTTTAGTTTTTTTTCCCTTTGAACAAACAAAACCACGACATGGGCATTAATGCAATTGAGCCCCTTTATAAGAATCCCAGCTGCCAAATGAGAATGGAACATTGTCAGAATGACAGGAATCAGGCCAAGGAAGGGCTGGGGCCCCAGGGGGGAGGGTAGCTCAAAGGTGGCACTCTTGACACAAGGACACCCTACCACAGCTGCACCGGCAAATGCATGTTAGAGAGAGAGGAGAAGAAGAGCAGGGAGAGAGCAGAGAGATCATCACGGAGTATGGAAAACTCACAGGATTTGACCCCAACCGAAGGAGCAAGTGTAGCCTGACCAGGACTTGAGTTTCAGAACCCGTTTTGCAAAATGAGTGATATCTCATGGCTCAGTCCCTGCCTGATCAGGAGCAGAGGCTGTGTAGAGGAGGAGCTGCTGTGAGAAGCCACGGCCAGAGTGTGAATGGAAGCACCCCTCAGTCTAACCATCCTCAGCCCTGAAGCTGCTGGCTTTCTTCCCTAGTCCGTACCCCATCAAGGCAAGGGGGACATATCCCATTTGGAGAGTGTTTCTAAGGGATATTAGTACTCGATCTCATTTAATCTTCACATGAGCTGCAGGTGGGGCTGGGTGGTGGTGTGGTCACCCCTACTTTACAGTCAAGCACACGCTACACATAATAGTAGTTACAGCAGAGAGATGCCCCTGTTGAGATCGTCTAAACCCCAAACACACAGCAACTCGTCCCTTCAGCCAATTATGGTACCACCAGGACCTACACACCCAGAAAACTTTCACAATTTCCATGAAAGAAAAGAAACAACAAGAGCACCCTTTACAGTTTCCACATTATGGTCAGTAGACATTGGAACTAATTCAACAAATCTTGAAACATTAGAGGAAAGCTCATTGCCCTTTACTCAGCATTTTGATAATAAAATGCAATATCAACATCGATTAACTAAACATTATGTTAACTTTACACTGCAAATAATCACTGACTTCTGTTCTTATCTTTGTTTCTAAGCAATGGATAATGCCAATTATTATTAGAATGAGAATTGAGTACTTTGTATTCACAAAGACACTTGGTCAACAGCTTTTCAAGGAATCTTTTAAAGGAAAACAAAAGCAAAAAACCTTGGAACTATGTTTTCAAATGTTAAAGCTAAAGTAAGATATTTAAGATTTATAACAAATTTATTTCTACTTTGATTTATGATTTTTCCTAGGTATGCAGGGATGGTTTAATTAAAAAAAAAATCTATCGGTGGAACTCACCACGTTAACAAATTTAAGGAAAAAAAAGATTAGCTCAATCGATGCAGAAAAAGCATTCCATAAATTTCAAAATTCCTTTAAGATTAAGAAGAAAATCTTCTGAGCAATATATAAGAATTTATTCAGTTACATAAATAGTATTTAGCCAAACTTTCCACAATATCATCCTAAATAGT